ATAATCATCGTAGCGTGAAGAACTATACACATTCCTTCCTTGGCTTTCATCTGATTTGGTGTCTTCCGATCTCCTTGTGCAAATTGGATTTCAGTTTTGACGTCCACAAATCCATTTACTGTCCAAATTATGTAAAGCATCTTCGACATCACGAACATCCTCAAATTGAACATAAGCAAATCCTCTTGGATGACTAGTGTAGAAATGAAGTGGAACATACACATCAACTATAGGACCATAGTGACCAAATTCTCGACGTAAATCTTCAGACCTGGTATCATCAGCCACGTTCCTCACGAATAGAGACGTGTTGGGGGGACGCAGGTAGCGGGACATGTTGGCAGCATGGGTATCAGCCAGGTGCACTAACGGGCTCCACAAAGCGTCCGCAAGTCCTCCGGAGGATCCTCAGACACGCACAGCCAGAGGGCTCTGCTACGGCAACCGCCTCTTCTCGCGAGACTCGCAATTACTCACTATTGAACCACAAGAGTCTTATCCCCATCTGCTTTCATCAGCCCCGTACAGATAGGTTGGAAACCACTCAGTGGAGATTCTACCTTCCCCCATGTCCACTGGAACTAGACTCCTGCTTGAAAGCTTGTAAGTCAGTCACTTCCTGCCTTTGTAGCCCCCCATTTTGGGTAGCCAATGTCTAAGTTGCCCATCCCTGTCAACCCTCTGTAAGGAGAGGGTGGGAATGATCCTCACTGTAAAGATTCATTCCCTCTTTTGAGCTACTACATCCATAAGTATAGGTCAAGTTCATCAGGCTGTAGAGGATTACTCTTTTTTTCTCTTATTTCTTCTTCTAGTTGAGTTCTGACCATCCAGTCACTGAAGCCAGGTCAAGTGGATACTATCTGCAAGTATGGGTGTTCTTGTGCATTCCCCTCACTTCATATTAGCTGCTCGCTTCACTTTGCACTGTAGTCTTTTCTTCTGTGGCTATGTCACTGTCTCTGGGCCTAGGAGTCCCCAGGTCTTGCCATACTGCTGGCCAACCATGTCTCAACCCAGGTTGACAGGAGTCTATTGAATGTTGTCGGACTTAGCTCACAACTTCATTGCTGTTTTTTCCCCCACTTCCCCTTATCAGTGACCAACGTCTATGTACCTGCTCATGTTTTACCCTTGAGTCTCAGTCTTGGAAGAGGGTTTGCCCTGAGGGGATCTGACCACTTGCCTTGATGGCTCCCAGGTGAACAATTTGCTTGTTCTTGTAGTAATCAATCAGACTGCTGTTATTGTTTTTTTTTTCCTGCTGGTCTTTCAAGAAGTATCTTCTGTTCTTCTAGCCGCTCCAGGCTGGTCTGCTTGTCCTTTCAAGTGGAAATTTCCCAGTTCAAAAGAATCTGTCTGGGGATCAGGATTGCACATATGGTCTTACACAATGCAAAGGCTCCATAGGAAGCCTCCTTCATTAGTCAAGTTCTAGCCCCATTTTAGATATTACAATCAGTTACAGGCTGAAGGCAGACTTACAAGCTTTCTACGGTGATGTTTCTGGCTATTCCTTTCTATCCCCACCAAGAGTCTATTTTTTACAATAGTGGGCAAGGGAAGCTAAGATTCAAAAGACAGACAAACATCTTAACATTATTTCCCTTCTTTTACTCATTAAAACCATGCCTAAATCCCTGTATCCCAGAGCCCTGTTGTTCCAAGGTTGTGCATACATCGTTATTTACCTCTGTCCCACTTAACCTATGCAAACCTGTCTAACTGTTCTTCCATCTGCCTTATTCTCCATTCCCCTCCCCCTTCTTGTGTATTGCCCTCCCTCCGCCAATACCCAAACTATCCTGTGTCTATTTCCTAACCTGTGCTCCACCTTCCCCTCCCTCCCCTCAACCTCACCATATATCCTGGTAACCAGCAAATAATTTTTTTCTTCTCTTTTAGTGTGGGTTCTTTTTCTTAATCTTTTACAATAATGGCCCTATGTAGTATTTCTCCTTTTGTGACTCACTAGTTACTCAAGGTTCATTCATGTTATGCGGTGGCTTTCAGATTCCTTGTTATTCTTCAATGTAGCATAATATTCCATTGTATGTATGTACCAAAGTTTGTTTATCCATTCTTCCATTGATGGTCACTTAGGCTGTCTCCATCTTTTTGCTATTGTAAATAGTGCTGCTATGAACATTGATGTGCATATATCTACTCATGTTATGGCTTGTATTTCTTGTGGATAAATACCAAAAGAGGAATTGCTGGATCATAAAGTATTTCTATTTCCAACTTTCTGAGGAAGTGCCATATTGTTTTCCAGAGTGGTAGGACCATTTTGCAATCCCACCAGCAATGTATGGGGGTCCCAGGCTCTTGGCATCCTTGCCAGCATTTATTGTTTTCTACTTTTTTATCTTTGCTGTTATTGATGGTGTAAGATGATATCTTATTGTTGTTTTGATTTGCATTTCTCTAATGGCTAGTGATTGTGAACATTTCTTCATATGTTTGTTGGCTGCCCAGATATCCTCCTTGGTGAAGTGTTTGCTCATGTCCTGTACTCATTTTTTAATTGGGTTATTTGTCTTTTTCTTATAGAGCGGTTGTAGTTTCCTATATATTTTAGAAATGAGTCCCTTGTCTGATGTGTCATTGCAAAAGATTTTTTTCCCATTGTGTGAGCTCCCTTTTTACTCTTTTGGTAAAGTCTTTTGATGCACATAAGTTTTTAATTTTTAGTATGTCCCAA